GTCTGCGCCAGTATGCGTATTTCCGTGTGGGTTGTGCGAATGCGAATGGTGCGAGTGGTGCGAGTGCGAATGGTGCGAGTCAGCGGAGCCAGCGCCTCCTTTTTTTGGTGCGTTAGCAGGATGCTCGGGGGGGTCGAAAACGAGGGGAAGTGAAAGCGAAAGAGGAAAGTGAAAAGTGGAAAGTGGAAAGTGGAAAGTGGAAATGGAGATGGGAATGGAAATCGAAATGGAATGAAAAGAAAAGGGAAGAAAACTCACGCGGCGGCGACCCATGCTGCTGCTGACTCTCCGACCTCGACGCCCTTGAACTGCGCAACGACCTATTCCCTCCCCCGCCCCCGCCCCCTCCACCCGAACTCCCACCCACCGTACCTAAAGTAACGCCACTCCCGCCCACAGTAACCCCACTCCCACCCACAGTAACCCCACTCCCCGTCCTCAACAGCCCCAGCTCCCCGCTCCCCGTCCGCAGGAGCGACACCGGCCTCGTCGCGGACGCGAGAGTCGACATCGACGTCTGGTGCTGGTGCTGGTGTGCGTGGCCGTCTCCTTCACCGTATCCGTAATGCGCGTTTGAATTTGCGTTTGCGTTTGCGTTCGGGTGTGGATAGCCCGAGTAGTGCGTGTCGCTCGAATATTGCATTGAATCACTCCTCCCAAGCGCTAACGACTGCGGCGGGCTCCCCAGAAGCATGCTCGTCCCGCTCATCCGCGCCTGGCTCCCGTTCCGGCTTCGGGTGGGCGCGGGGGTGAAGTATGAGCCGGAGCCGCGGCGGGCGTTGCGCCGTGAGTTTGGGGTGGTGGTGCGGGGGCGGTTGGGGTGCGAATTTGAGGAAGGATGGGACTCGGAGGACAAGGAGGATGAGGTAGACGAGGAAGAGGAAGAGCGGGAGTGGTGCCGTGATGGGCGACGCACGCGGGCGTAGGCGGCGAGGGCGAAGTGGTAGAGGATCTGTAGAGAATGAATAATGAGTATGAATATACGGAGGAGGGACGAGAGGGAGAGCGAGAGGAAGAGGGGACGAAAGAACCAAGAAAAGGAAAAAATGGCGAAGGAACGAAGCCAGATTTTAAGATTAAACCAAGTCGAAGATAGAAAAAGCAGGGTGAGGGTCAAGGAAACTTCAATACACCGAACAGGCTCGATGTACGAAGAGACTCGCAGACGCAGCCATAGAACCAGCGCGGCACAGACCAAGAACGAACTTCCGATCCAGGGAGTCGACGTCCGCGACCAAAGTCCACGATCGTATCCATCCAGGATCACACAGGCCCGCCAGAAGAGACAGATCCGATGGGACGGGTAACCGGCCCGGCCCGGCAACGCCCGCTTCACACCAAAAGGACAGAAAAGAAAGAAAAAGAAAGAGGCAGAAAATAATGAATGACATCGCGCGTCGCGTGCATTGCGCAGAAAAAGAAAGAAAGAAAAAGAAAACAGACAGGGCTCCCAGCCCAAGTCGACTCGTGTCCGCCCGCGAAAGCAAAACGGATGCCCACCACTCAGCACAGCACAGCACACAGTACAAGACCAGCGCGGCTACGATTTCCACAAGAGCGGAGCAAGCGCGCACACACAGTCTGCGCTCACAGACGCACACGTTTGGCGCACAGGAGCGGAGCGAAGTAGAGTGGAGGTCGGAGGGATAAAGCGGACAGGGGACCGTGCAACAAAACGGGGATGGAGCGCGAGCGAGGGGGAGGGGAGGGGAATGAAGAAGGACGAAAGAAGAAGGAAGGAAGACGAAAATGAACTCGGGGGAAAGGAAGACATAGCATGAGGGCCAAGAAAGCTTCGAGACGCCACAAGGCTCGCAAATCTCGATGCGCGAAGACGCCCAGACACGGTTCCAGCGGCCAGAGAACCGCCGCTGTGGCGACCAATGCTCAAACGCACACGGTTCGGTCGCCCACAGAGACACACAAACGCACAAACGCACAAGGTCTGCTCTGCTCTGCTCACACAAGACTGTGAAGTGGAGGCGACGTGGAGGGCGCTCCGAGTCGAGGCAGGAAGGAAGGAAAGCTCAACGCAGAAAGGAACGAAACGAAACGAAACTGCGCAGGGAGCTGCGTTGCACTGGACACAGACGCAGAGCACGGGGATCGGGAGGGCTCGGCAGAGAAAAGCATGCGGGCGGGCGGGCACCTCAGCCTCGGCCCGGACGGACGGGCGAGCGGAGATATGAGGAAAAGAAGAAAAGAGGAAGGAAGCGGGCGATACGCCCACCACGCCCACACGCGGAAGGAGGGGATGTGGGAGTGAATGGAAGGGGCGACAGGGTGGATATTGGAAGAAAGACGAAAGCAAGAGGAGGAAAGAAAGAACGAAAGAAAACGAGTGGCAAAGGTTGGGCGAAGGTTGGGCGAAGGGGATAAAAAAGAACAGAGACGAAGACGGAGCGAGAAAACTCACCAACACGCCCACGGTCAACAACAGCCTCACAATCGCGAGGGCGAGCCACGCGCCCCAGGGAGTGCTGCTCCCACACGCGTCGGGTGGGTTCGTCGGGACGGACCAGATGACGTCGACGTCGACGTTGATGCAGCGGATGTCGAGGTTTTCGCCACTGGAGCCGCGAGACCGCCAGACGAAGACGAAAGCGAAGTTGACTAGGGCAGGCACGAGCCAGAGGAGCGCGGCGGTGTACCGGAGGAAGCGGCGGAGGAAGCGTTTGCGGAGGCGGCGGGGGAGGAGGGAGGAGGGGAGGAAGGGGACGAGGGTGGAGAGGAGGAGCGCGAGGAGGGATAGGGATGCGAGGATGGCTAGTGCGAGGTTCGTTGATGTCGCCGTAGAAGAACTACGCAACCGCGCATACGCAAGCCAATACCGCACGGCGGTGTACACGCCCCACCCACCCACGACCACCTCCAACGCCGCAATGGCAAGACGCAAACGTCGGAGACGGCGCCGGACTCGAGCATCGGCAGTGGCCTTGCGCTCAAGCAGCGAAAGCGGGTCGCCGGCGAGGGAGAGTGGTGGTGCGGTGTGGATCGGAGTACTAGTCACCAACGCGGCATTCGGATGGACGGGCTGGCGCGCAAGGAGGTCGAGGTACGCAGTGCTGCCGGGTGAGCCAGATGTACTTGCAGCTGCAGTGAGAAGGGGCTGCTGCGAGGACGCAATCGACACAACGCGGGTGTGGCTGTCGACAAGGTCGTCTTGGATGTTGACATCGCGGTCGTGGTTGTATCCCTCGCGGAGGCCGCTGAACGAGTCACGACCGTGTTCGCTGGTGGGAGAGCCCCAGATTGAGTTATGCAGTTGTAGGGCCATCCAGTGCCATGTCACGACTAGCGCAGAACAGAACGAAGAAACGAGCACAAAAAGAGAGACACAAAGTTGTGGACGCTCTCTCAATTACATATCTCCGGCGATCACACAAATCCTTGTACGTAATCGACGTTAACCTTAATTCCATCTCCCTTCATTAACACAACATCCCGAATACAACGCTGCCTGCACTCCCTCCCTCCTATTTCAGTCCTCCATTCCGCATTTCTCCGCCACAACTGCTGTTCTGCGGACGGAACAACCCCCTATCCTTCTTCTGATGTCAGCTTTCACACCAACACCATCTCGACATGTGCCAGTCTGCGCTATCCATGAGCCGCCTCCGTTTAAAGCCACCCGTTTAACCGTGCGCAGCACCATGGCGCACTCCTCCCGCAGATGATGCGTCGTCCATCCTCTGCGTACCTCCGCCTGATGCGTCGCTCGTGCTGATTACGGATGCCGATCCACACCCGCACCATGAACCCAACAACGCTACGCCCATTCGCTGTCCGTCCGACTAATCACATTCTCCCTCTAGTGCAGAGTACATCAGCAGCACGCAATCATATCTGCGCAGTTCGCGGAGGATGTGTGTGCGTGTTCCTCCTGTGTGTATGTCAATGTAAGTCAGTGAGGAAGGGGAATGCGGACTTTGACACGTAAATACGCCGCTCGGGACGCCGCCCGGTCCCGACGTTACTTTAACGCCTCAACAGCATTCAAGCTGGACTTCATCAACGCCTCAAAGTCCCTGTCCGACCTGGTCCCGGGATTTGCCCGACGTTCCATTTCAGCCTTACCACAAACGCCGAAGTTTTTGTGATTGGGAATGCCCAGGAGACTTTGTTTCAACCTGACGTTCCAGTACCAATTCGGATCCGGATTTGTCGGGATAACATGCATAACACAACATACCGTCAAAGTCAACATTTCACCACGCAGACAGACGACGCCGCTGATTCCTTGATCTCTTCCTTCTGCAAGTCGAATCCGGACATAACATAACGCCTTTATTAACGTTGCGAACATCACTTTAGGTTCAAGGTGTGTATTGTGTAATTAAATCCGGACGCAGACGGACACACAATTAAACACGGACGGACGCATTGATTAAACACCCTTCCCGACGCGCGCGCCAGGCCAGGCGCATCAATTAACCACGCAGGCGCATCAACCAAACCCCAGTCTAGGTGCGCGCCTCAGTTAAAACATGCACCCCCCGACACCAGTATCTGGTGCACACGCGTCGCATCGTCAGCCTATCTTGCCAGCGCGGCCACTTATCTCAGCCCGTCTATCTTTCTTTCCCTCTTTCCCCGTTTCTTCTTTGATTTGCATCAGTGGTGAGTACTGTGGAGTATACCCTATGAACGACTGGCGATCGAGGCCCACCACCGCAGTAGTGCCGTGTAGAATTCTCTCAGTCCCTCATCGGGCTTCCCGGCGTTTCTCACCCACATCGCCTCTCCCTCCCTCCCTCCTTCCTTCCAACTCGTCTTCCTTTCTAGTTTCACTCGGACGTACTTCGACCTTCCTACTCGTCCTCGTACTTCGAATCGCACGAGTACCCGTGGGTGGGTTCGACTGCGCAACATATACGCTCCTTCGAATCCGCAGCGCCTTCCCACGGTTCACTCCCACTCGCAGTCTCCGAGCACGCTCGGAGATCTCTTCCTCTCTATCTTATACTCCCTATATCCCACAAGCAACAGCGAGAAATGTCGGCCTGGTGGTGTACTGGTAACATGTCTTCTTGTTATAAGACCTGAAGACTTTGCAGAAGACGAACCTCGTTCGATTCGGGGCTGGGCCATGTTCGTTTTCTGCTTCCCGTTTTGAGCCCCCTTTTTATTGCTGCACGCGAACCTTTGGCTCTTCCTTGTTACATCCATACTTGTTTTCCGAAAATTGCTTTACGCTGGACACTAGCTATTTATGATGTGTTGTGTTGAACTTGAATTTAACCGTTTGGTTGAAATTCATCTGCTCTTCTTGTCCCACTCTTCTCTCTGCCATATCCCCCATTGTCAAGAAAAGGGAACGTCGGCCTGGTGGTGTATCGGTAACACGTCTTCTCTGCTTCTGAATAAGCAGAGGCACTTCAGAAGAAGCACCCCGTTCGATTCGGGGCCAGGCCATTCCATAGTCCTCTTGGTCAACTTTTTCCCCCTTTTTTTGCAGAAAAAAAAACAGCTTTCCTCCGACTCTCATTTCATATCGTCTTTCATCTATTTTGGTTCCTGAACTAGCTATTGCACTGGACAGTCCTAGCCATACTGTGTTACAGTTGAACTTGAATCTACACATTGCCATTCGGTACAAATCGAATCACCCACTGCTGCCTCCCTCACTTCTACCAGATATACCCCATCATCAGGAGAAGAGAGTCTCGGCCTGGTGGTGTAATGGTATCACGTCTTTGTCTCTTGACCCAGGAGTGTTAGAATTTAAGAAGATGAACCCCGTTCGATTCGGGGCTGGGCCTTACTACTCTGTCGATTTCGATTCTTTTTGTCCCTTTCGCCTCGCGTGAACTTGTTACCCTTCCTTGTTACTTCCATACTTGTTTTCCCAAAATGACTTTACACCAGGCGTCATCCATTTATGATAATATACCATAGACCAGCCTAATAATATAATACAAACAAGCCGAAGTGGGGAGTCGAACCCACTGCTTACACTCGTCTCCATTCCAACCATCGAAAGACATTGATCACAGCGGCGTGCCGCGCACCAGACCCGCATTTCTTGTGTGAATTTGGACTCGGGACAAGATACGTGTACTCTAATTTGCGAAATTGAACGATACTGTAATTTGTGAGCAAAGTTGAACACCAAAGAGGGTTTAAAGAAGGAGAAAATCCTACTGTTAGAATTTTAATGCGTACTGCAACCTGTTGTTCAGTTATTAAGTAACTCTTGGGTGTGGTAAGTCGAACACCGGCAATAGCTTACCTCTCTAATGTTGAACCTGGGGCAGTGGGACTATTTGGATTAGAGTAGATCCCTGATGCCTTTTTTTCTAAACAAAAAAAGCGTAACAGGATGCGCAACCAGGCAGGAGTGGGGAGTCGAACCCAGCGGCTGCTCAAATCTCATCTTTTTTCTCTCAACTCTGATTATATAGGAGCGCCACGCACCACGGCTGCTTTGACTTGGTACAACTGATGTTTAATAGGAGACATTTGATTCACCACAGGAGATATTCAATTCGCTAATGTTGGAATTGAAACAGGAAGATGTCCTCTGAATGAACTCACTGATTTTTTTAGTTCAAGCACGATGCAATTTAGCTCAACAAAAGGGTCAAAGATTTAGTATAGTATCCTACATTGTGAGCCTTTCTTTCAACTGGTTCGCTTCACTCAGAACCTCAGTTGGATCCTTCACTCAAGTTCGAAAAGTTCTGATGCTGGGTTCAATATTCATGCCAAATGTTCGGCTTGTGTCTCTCCCTTAGCCCTATGAGTAAATTGTATTCTGTTCTGTACTGGCCCGGCTCAACTGAACTCGGCTCCTTCAAATGATGCGGAGAGTTCATTGTTCGACTCGAGCTCGTACCTAATTTTTATCGACGTTACGTGCATAGGAATAAAGGAAAGCGGATTATTTCGCAGAAACGGCTTGCCAGAAACCCAAACCACAATAGTCGGCAACCCATCCTCCCAAAATGGAAGTAGTCATTCTAGCATCCCAATTGAGACATGGCGATCAATTCTTGCCGTTGTGTCTCACTGAAGGGATTTATGGCAAAGAAATAGAGCGCAAGGAAATTCAACGGAACTCGACACACAAATGATCCTCAAACAATATATTCACGCCAAGTAACTACATCCTACTCTCTCCAAAACGACCAGAAATGTGCTGACTAAGCTGCACCGCCACCTGCACCCGTCCGGGGGGATTGTTCTCGCCAGAAGCGAAGAAACCGTGCAACTTACTCGGCCATAGTTTCTCCCCGCCCGAGGGCCTCAATGACAAGACAAAAAAAAAGAAAAATCCCCCGAGGAGGGGGATTGGGAGGGGAGTGGAAGGGGAGTGGAGGGGAGAAGACAGGGATAATAACTCACCGGAATCAGGGGGTATTGACCTGTAAAAACGTGTTAGTTAGCTCTGAATGAACGAGGGAAACTCACTGGAAACAGCGTGGGAAAGCGGCCCCTCAAAAGCGTCAGAAGTGAGATTGGCGGGAAGAAAACTGGAAAGACTTACTGGAGGCGTCAAAAGCGGTCAAAATGGGTTCAGAATTCATTCAAAGTGCGTTGAAGATCTTCGGAATTTGTCAGACGGCGTAAACTTGAAAAACTCGAAAGAACTCACTTGGGCCAAAATCACGTGATGGATTGATCTGAAAGAATTAGAGCGGCGCGTCAGCAAGATGCGTCGAGCAGAGGAAAAACGAAAGACGTAGGGGGAAAACGACCACATGTAGCTTTCGAAATGCGGGAAAGGAAGAGTTTGAAGTCAAGAATGTCATGTAGAAGAGTATGGTTGAAAGGAAAAGTACAAAATGTTGGACATGATACAGACAGCATTTAGGAGGAGGATCGACAAGAGAGAGGGAAGATACAGTACGATGTGGATAGACGGCGATGAGAAGGAGGTTGGTAAGATGAGAGGTGACTTGAACAAAGCAAGAGAATGTAGGTGATGTGTGTGAAGATGGTAAGACAGATGCCAATGAAGGAAATTGAGAATGGAAGAAAACAGGTCAAGACAACGTACCGAAGGACAAAATACATGTTGTTGCAGCGGTCGTAGGCCCTTGGCGCGAAAATTTAGTTGCTGGAGTAGAGGAGTTGGAGAGTTGGAGTTGGAGTTGAGTGTTGAGGTCGAGGTAAGCCAGCAGCGGCGGCGAAAAAATGCCTAGAGAGGGTGTGAAGTGGGGTGATGGGGGCAGGAGGAAGGGACGATTTTTTGGGGGCCCGCTGGACTTTATACGATCGGGAAAAGCTTCGGAATCAAATTCTCACGGTCCGAAAATGTTCAATCGGAGATTCCGCCGGGATCGAAAATCTGGGATTTCACCTGATTTCACGCCGTTCACGGACATCAAAAGTTCATTAAGCCGAGTTGAGCCGTGAATCAGGCCGTGCCGGTGGTTCGCCGAACTTCCGGCAGCAAATCGCTTGATGCGCCGAGCCTAAAAAGCGGCACCGAAGACTTGTTTAATTTTTTTGCCTCAGCACAATACGTAGACTCGGTCTGGAGAAAGCTGCCCAGCGTAGTGCCTGGGCAAAAGGCCTGGCGAAACCTCCCCGTGGATGCTCCTCAAGAAAATGCCTCGTCACTTGTCTGCTGGGTGATGTCATTGCGAAGATCCTCGCAATCTGAGCATTTATGTGCGTGCCTTCCGAAAAACGCGTTGCAGACGTGTTTTTTTGCTCATTTTGAGGCTTACACAAGTGTGCGGGTCGAGAGAACAGATTTTGACGCGTAGATACCGGTGCGCTGAGGCAGCACTCGCAGAGCGCGTTGCGGGGATTTTGGACGAGCCGGCTTTGCGCGCCGAAGAAGAACAACTCAATCCGGAAGCGAAATTTGCACCGATCACGCACAGACCTGAGGTTGAATTTTTTTGTTTTGCCTCGGCAAAAATGCCGGGTAAAACCTCAAGGCAGACACTCGAAACAGGCCAAAATTCAACGCCTGGAGGACCCTCCCCAAGAACAGGACTGGAGAAAGGCCCCAGGAAGAGCCCCGAGACATCACTTTTTGACACGTCCGTTTTGGGCTGTCCCGCGGTCTTCTTTTTTCTTTACGTCTGAGCAAATACATATGCCTTCTGAATTTTCTGCTTTCGGCCGGAAAGATCCTGGGGACAGTATAGGAGCACAGAGCTCCAGAACACCCAAAAATGAAGCTCTCGGAGGACCATCCCCGAGGAAAAGCCTGCAGGAAAAGCCTGGAGGAAGCGTCCCAAGGAAGAGCTCCGGGACATCACTGTCTGTTTGGGGCTGATCCGCGCTCTCGATTTGCGTTGATTGGGAAGGTCAATCCCGATGACGTGCGGACTCAACGAAAAAGAGGACTTGCCGTGGTTTGATTTTTGGTTGCCCAGGACAAGCGCTGGGGAACACGCTCGAGGAAATGCCTCCAGGACAGTCCCAAAGGCAAGGCCTGGGGGACTTTTCCACTTGAGGAAAAGTCTCGAGGAAGGGCCTCGGGGAAGAGCGTCGGGGAAGAGTCCCGAGACGGGTCCATTTTAGGCCGTCCCGCGATGGGTTCTTAGCTTTACGTCTTTGCGCGGTGCCGGATTAAATCGCGTGCAAAACGAGTTTTCGCAAAGTTTCCGTGCCCGTTGCAGAGAGACTCAAGGCCGACGCGTTTTTGAGACTTGAATTCACCACTAAATTTGCGCCAAGTCGTGCGCGCAAAGCGCCCCTTTCGAGAGTCTTGAAGTCGAGTTGCGCTTGGACTAGCACCGGAAAAGAACCCAAATCAATCACCCAAATCGGGGTGATGAAATGGAAACCTTCACGATACCGCCCCGACCTTCATTTTTCGCTGAATTTTTGCCTCGCCGCAGGACAAGCGCTGAGGAATGTACTCAAGGATGTAGCTTCAGGAGAGGTTAAAAGGCGGGGCATGGGAGACAGCGCTCGGGAAAAAGGTCTCCAGGAGGGGTTCCGGGGAAAAGTTTCGAGACATGTCCATTTTGGGCTGTTACGCGACCTTCTTGTTCGTTACGTCTAAGCGCGGTGCCTGCTTAAACGTTGCACAATGTCCTTGCAAGGACCAAAAGCCGACGGTGACGCGTGAATTGGAGGACTGAAGTCATTGTAGAAACTCTTGCAAAACCGCGAACGCAGAGCGCGCGTTTGCGAGATTTTAACTTGGGCTGGACCCAAAGAAGCTTCCCAATCACCCCAATCGGGATGAAATGGAAGCCTTTCTCCGATGACGCACAGACTTGAATTTGTTGTCTGTTGGTTGAATTTCTCCTTGGCCAGGGAATGAGTACTGGAGTTCTGAGGGTGCGCCCAAGCACAGAACGCCAGTGAAGCGCTCCAGGAATGGCCTAGAGGTCGGGCTGCAAGCACGGCCTCGAGAAAAGTCCCAGAGCGAAATTCGACATGTCTCGATCCTTGATTCCTTCACTAATATTACGTCTTTGCGTGCCTTGGCCGAAATCATGCGGGACACATTTTCTTGGAGTTTGCAAGCAACTCGAAATCGTAGAGAGAGCGAGCGCGTGCAGAACTGCAGATCGAACGAAACTTACCAAAAGTCGTATCTCAGTGTATCTTGCAGAGAGATTGGGCGTGGGCGCACCAAAAAAAACGCATAAAGTCAATCAATTACGTTTCGGCACCGATCCGCGCGAAGATCTGAGCGCGTTTTGGGACCCGCGCAAATACTCGAGAGAGAGAGACCTTTCGCGCCTCTCGAGTATGCAGCTCAGATATAAGAGACAGCATCAAGTCGGGGGCTTAAAAGCGCGCAGTTGGGGTCTGCAAAAACACACTGGTCGCAGAGCTGGAG